CCGATCTTCCTGCTGTATTTGCTTTTATTATCTGCAAATAATACAAATCATTCCCTATTCTACATTTTCATTGCCTTATTTGTAATTTGGTCTCTAATATACTTCTAATAATAACTACCTCCAATCCATCGATGGATCCTTTCTAACCAATCCACTTGGATCTCGGTTTCCATCAGTGTACTTTAATTTATACAGCTGGTATTGTGTTGGTAGGTTAGTATGCTTTTAAGTTATATTAATGTTCAATTATTCTCACCAATATTTGGATTAGTGTTTGTATATTTTTATGCATCTCAAATTGTTGGTGTCTTGTACAGGTTCAATGTAATGTTTTTGAAGGTGCTAGTGGAGAAATTGCACTTACAGCAGCTGGTGGATTGAGGCAAATTCCTGGAATAACCGAGACCTTTGAAAATGCTGCATTGGTAACTTTCTACAGCATTTGGCTACCAGTTTGACTCGTTTCATAATTTTATTTCACTGACTTTCTTTTATCTGAAGTTAATCTCCGAAATAAATGGTGGTGGTAATGGGATTTACGAAAGTACAAGAATGTATAGCTATTTTGATTTGTCTTTTTTGTCAAAATAACATCCTGTGTTCGTGTTAAATATTCTCTATGATTTGACAAACTGTTATGTGAGGATGAAAATGCTAAGTTCTTTAGATTTCTTCAATAATTATTAATTGCATTGCTGACACTTCAAGGAACCCTTTCTCCCCTGCCTTCATTCATGAGTGATGGAGACTAATGTTAATATTTGTAGTGAAGTGGTTTAATTAGGTCGATATTTTCTCAGGAAATGTTCTAATTAATATATCTAATGGTGGATAGTGATTTTTATTTTTATTTTTGGCATTTCAAGTCATGGTAAAAGTTGCGGTCATGTTCCTCTATTTATTTATCTTTTTAGTAAACCCCTAGATTAGTTGTTGAGATTGTAATTATTGGTCACTTTAGTCCTAACTTTTCTAAATCCTTTAGTCCCTAATTTTGCAACATATTATTCACCTTAATCCTTTTCTACATCATTTTTCATTGATATTAAGGATTAAAGAGAATGAATTTTTTCAAAGTCAGGTAAATAATGATTTAAAAAGGCAAGGGACTAAAGTGACCAGTGCTTACAATATTAATCTGGGGTTTATTCTTTTTTCTATTTGTTCTCTTTGCCAGCTTCTTTTGGTCACTTCGAACAATTGATATTTTCAGTTTTTCATTTTATTATTTGATAATTGTTGGTTTTTCTTAATTTTATAATCTTTTCTATGTTGCAAACTGCTGCAGATTGGAATTCATTACGGTGGAAAATTTTATGAATTTGTGCCATGGAATGGTGTTGTTAACTGGGAAGTTGCTACTTGGGGTTATTGGTTTATGTCTGCAGACAATGGCAACTATGTGGTAATTATATCCTTTCTAAGTACATATTATTTTTTTCGGTGCTTAGGAGAATTACTACACAGACCACACTAGTTGTAGTTGTTATTAAAGTTTTGCATGCATCTCATTTCCTTTTATGAGATCTATAATCTATGAAATCAGAATTGCCTGTTGAATGAGCTTAACACGTTAATGATTAGCAAGTCGGAATTGCTTTGGGAAATTTTGGTTGAACTTTTCAATCCAAGAGAAACAAAGTAGTCAGATGGGGCTTCTTTGCCTAACGAGAGATTCGATATATATTATTATTTTATTAGGTTGAAATAGAAGCAACAGCAGATGATCCAGGTACTGCATTGCGAGCTCCAACAGCAGAAGCTGGCCTTTCCCCTGCTTGTAAAGATACGTGCTTTGGAATTCTACAATTAAAATTGTGGGAACGAAGATATGATGGCAGCAAGGGGAAGGTGTATATTCACACATATAAATTGTTTTCAGATTTGGTGTTCAATGAAACATTCTCATGAATATTTGGTAAATGGCAGATCATATTGGACGTATCAAGTAATATGGCAGCTCTAGAAGTTGGAGGGGGTCCATGGTTTAGCACATGGAAGGGCAAGACATCAACTCCAGCAGTCCTAAGCCGTGCCCTTCAATTACCCATTGACGTAGAAGGCATTTTTAATAACATTCCTCTGTTTAAACCGCCTGGCCTGTAGTCAGTTGGTTTCATGTTATAAACTATGTCATAGTGCATGAAAGGATTCAGGGTTTCACCATAAAGACAAAATTTAGAAAGGGGTTTTCTTGATTAGAAAAGCACAATATCTGTACCCTTAGATAAAAAGTGGGTGGGGGTGTAATTTTCAACGCTTTACATCAAATCCCAACATCCCAACTGATAATAGAAAAGTGATCTTTATAGAGTTATTTATTAATTTTAATATATATTAAGAATTTTAATATATGTTAAGATCGGATAAATATATATATATATATATATATATATATATATATGGATATTTCTCTTCTAAACATTAATTAATTAGGTAAAAAATGATTAAGTAGTTTAAATTATTGAGGAATTTAATATTTTTAAACAAATTAATTGTTTTTTAAAAGGGTGTGATTTAGTTGAGTATAATCAATTAAATTATTTCATTCGATTTAACTTGCTACTTTATATATTTATTAAAATTATTAACAAACTATTTTTCACTTAAATTAATTAATTAAATTGTTTGATAGCTTATGTTTTTATACAAAAATTATTTACATAATTTATTAAGTAATTAATTTGAATTTTACAATATTTTTAGTAATAAATAGTAAAATTATATATAATTTATAATAAAAAAATATTTTTATTTATTATTTGTTGTTTTTTATATAAAAAATTAAAATTCCAATAATAATAACAAATATAATTTTTATTTATTATTTATAGATAAAATTACTGATAAAAAATAAATTTTTACTATATTTTTCTTTATTACACAGCTTTTAATTATACTTTATCTTTTACTAATTTTTCTACGTTTTTACATTTATTTTTTTTTTCTTATTTCTTTTCTCTTTATAAAACACATGTTTAGTGATGACACACCCCTTCCTTTCACTTAAAAGATAAAAATAATAATAATAATTAGGTGATGATACAAATAAATCCAAGACCGTATCCGTCGTCCTTTTGGAACGTTCTTCAATTATTGATTGGTTTCCCGCCAGAATGTAAAGAAATTTTAAATTGTTAAATGAGGGACACGCTTAAGAAAAATATAAGGATTAGTTATCCTTCTCTTTAGTTTCTTTTAATTTTACGATTTTTAATTTTTTTATAGTTAAAAATATTTTTAAAATTCTATATCTGTATAAATTTAATCTTTTAATTCTTATAAAAATAAAAACAATAACTAATAAAAAATAAAAATATATATAAATGCTAATTTAACTATAATATTAAAATATAAAATTTATGAATTTATAGAAATTAAAGGAATTTTTAAACTGAAATGTAACAAAAACATCTTATGTTATAAAAGCAATGAAATTTCCTACCGATAAAAAATAATAGAATTTAAATAAAAAATAGTAAATATCGTAAGTATTATATAAATATTTTTAACATCTTGATTTTGGATATGAAATACTATGATAGGAGAGAATATCCACTTTATATGCATTTGTTGTCTTTGACAGAGATTAATCATTACTTTCGACGATTAATACTTTGTACATATATTATAATTACTTAAGAAAAAAGATTATAAATAATTATTGTACTTAAAAGAAAAATTTTAAAAGTGATTATCTATTTATTAGAAAATTAAGTAACATAACAACTATATTATGATAGAGAAATATATAACATTAAATTTATTGGTCCTTCCCGAATAAATTATAATAAATTTTAAATTTAAATATGTTTTATTTTCCAGGTAAATTATAAGTTTTGATTTTGGTTCTTGGAAAATTTTGTATTTGTTTTTCATCTTTCTAAATTTTGTAAATATTATATTTGGTCCTTGTAAACTTTTTTTATCATTGTAAAATAAATAAATTTTAATTTTGATCCCGTTAAAATGTTTTTCTTTAATATTCGCTCTTTCAAAATGTAAAATTAATATTTTTGGCCTCTAACAATGAATAAAATATTTTTATGATTATTTATTAATTTGAATAAAGTATCAAATAGTTTAAAATTTGTAAACTTAATTTATGCAAAAAAAAATTTCAATTCAACAGTTTAACTCTCTCTCTCTCTCTCTCTCTCTCTCTCTCTCTCTCTCTCTCTCTCTCTCTCTCTCTCTCTCTCTCTCTCTCTCTCTCTCTCTCTCTCTCTCTCTCTCTCTCTCTCTCTCTCTCTCTCTCTCTCTCTCTCTCTCTCTCTCTCTCTCTCTCTCTCTCTCTCTCTCTCTCTCTCTCTCTCTCTCTCTCTCTCTCTCTCTCTCTCTCTCTCTCTCTCTCTCTCTCTCTCTCTCTCTCTCTCTCTCTCTCTCTCTCTCTCTCTCTCTCTCTCTCTCTCTCTCTCTCTCTCTCTCTCTCTCTCTCTCTCTCTCTCTCTCTTGAATATTTACGAATTGATTGCTTAATAATTCTAAACAATTACATTTATATTTTTCCATTGCTTATATACTAAATTGTAAAGTGTAATAACCTATGATATCGTTATACATATAATTAGAATTCCATTGGAATTTTTAATGTGTTAGTATAGTTTAAAAGCCTCTCTCTCTCTCTCATTCTCATATATATATATATAGATATGTGTGAATATTTACGAATTGATTGCTTAATAATTCTAAACAATTACATTTATATTTTTCCATTGCTTATATACTAAATTGTAAAGTGTAATAACCTATGATATCGTTATACATATAATTAGAATTCCATTGGAATTTTTAATGTGTTAGTATAGTTTAAAAGCTCTATAATAAAATCTTTTAATTGAGTTTTTTTTTTTTAAATAATAGCTGTGAAATGTTCACGACTTTTAACGTTGATTAATCTTTGTCTAGATACCTAATTAATAACCTTTAACGTAAAGTCTTTCTTTCCAGTTATATATATTTTTTATCTACAAAACTCTAATTCAAACCCTTTGAAAATCTGATCTCAGTACCTATTTTAATTGAGTATCTAATAATTATTTTTATTAAACTAGTAATTTAGTCTATAAATTAGAGAGTAAATCTTTAATGTATATATTTATAATTTTTAACCAGTATTGTAACATGTATCTTATTCATGATTAAATTTTTTTTTTATATAATCAACTATATAAATAACTATTTTGAACACAAATTATATTATAATCAAAATTTATAATAAAAAAATTCCAAACATATATATATATATATATATACATATATTTAAATCGATAAAAAAAACTATATTGTGATAAAAAAAATATTTTTAATGACTGATATTTTTAATTTAAAAATATTAAAATTTAATTTAAAACTAAAGATAGAAATGATTGATTAATATAGATAAGCAATAAGATGAATGTTAGCAACATTATTTCTTAAAAAAATTCTACTATTAATTAAATTTATTATAAATTATAAATTTTTGTGAATCTTGTATCTTATTTAATTATTTTTTCTTCTCACTTAATAATAAGACTACTAAAATTTATGGTTTTTAATAAATTTGAATAAATAATGGAGAATATTAAAAAAATGAAAAAATTAAATGGAAGAATGAAAATAAAAATACTGTGGTTTGACTTTGAGATAAAAGTTTTTTTTTTATTAATTGATAAATTAAATTAAAATTAGAATTAAAATTATATTTGAAATGAATAAAAAATAAATTTGATTGCTCGATACATAAGATTAAAATAAATGCACTGAAACTAATAACAAAGAATATGACTTGCAGCTCAATGCAAAGGAAATAATTAACTTTCGAAAATACTTTCATCCAAACATATTTCTTAAAAGGGCTCCTATTTAATAATAGCTTCTAAAAAAGTGATAATTTCATTAGTAGTATAATACAAATTCAAATTTATAATACAGGAGTAGCTAGATGGTAATAATTAATTATAAATTTCTAGCTATTACTAATTTTTTGGAGATTTTCGAGATTCACATGTTATGGGATAGCGTTAGCCTGTTTATGTGGTTTTCACAAGATAGTATAGTACAGCCACGGGTTACACGTGCATATGTGAAGACAAATATTATTTTGGACTATCCAAAATACTGGTTTATGATTTGGCATATATATCATAAATAAATCAACATTAAATATATTTTTAAGTCTTCATAATTTTTTTTTTAATTTTAGTTCTTGTAAAAAAACTATGAAAACTAAAATGAAAATATACTCACTTTTTAAGAAAAAAAACATATTTAAACAAATAAATTATAACTTACATGTAAGAGTTGCATCCAACACACCCATCAAGACAAATGTTTGTGTAATACATTTAACTTTATTATAAAAAAAATATTTATTAAAACAACATAAATAATAATATATTTTCCTTTTAGAAAAGTCTCGTTTTTGTGTGTATGTAGGTAAGCACCCGACTTTAGCCTATTTGTTTTATATTATGCTCATCACAATTCATAACAGTGCCAAAATTGATCCTCTTTGGCACAAAAGTAAAAAAAGAATACTCTATTCTTACTCATATTTTAATAACTAATTTTACAAAAAAAATAAAAAAATAATAATAATAAAAAACGTAAAACAGGAGAGTAATGCAATGAAAAAAAAAAGTAGTGAAAATAAGTTTGAGCCTTTAAAATCCGAGAAATGAGGGAGGTGAAAAATAAAAAGAGTGAAAATACGAATGAGGGAAGTTGAATTTACAGTTTTTTTTTTAAATAAAAAAAATCAAAAGTTTTTTAATTGCTACACTATTTTTTTTAATACATTTCTTTTATAAATATCGACAGCTTTAAAACTGCCAGTTATATTTTTATAAGAATCACAAAATATATATATATATATATATATATATACATAATTATGATGA